AAGATCCTACCACTTTCTCTCGTTTTGAATAGGTCCTTTTGACAGGCCCAAGAAGGGAACCTGAGAGGAGCAAGTTGTTAGGGCAAGCTGACAGTCAATCCTCCCTCAAGGGAGCAATCAATGCTGGTCAGGGGTCCTTCAGCCATATGGAAGGAAGTGTGAGTGTGTTTCAGGATGTAATATTCCTTTATGACTTGCGGGGGGAATAGGAACCGGACTGATGCTCCCCAGAATGGAAAAGGAGCCAGGCCCATAAGGACCTGTTTTTTGTTAAAAAAAAAAAAAAAAAAACAGCAATTGGAACGATTTTAGGAGCATCTTATTCATTTGGCCTTTGGGACAGAAATCCATCAGTTCTTCTTGTGAGTTGCACCAACCTTCGAAGTCCTTTTCTTCTCATTGTGGAAGTCTGTTACAATCCTGCCCAATTCTTGATGATATGCTGGGAGGTTGATGAAAGCAACCAACGTGATTGCTCATAACGCTTATGTATTTTGTTTTGTCATCTCCTTGCATGCTTTTATCTGGTTCAGGTCATTGTCACCCCTGGAAAAGGAGTGTTCTATGGGACAGAACTCCATCAGTTCTGCCTGTGAGTTGCAGTCTCAGTTACCAACCTTTAAAGTCCTTTTTTGTTCATTGTTAAAGTTTGTTACGATCTGCCCAATTCTTGACGAGAAACTAAACTATCAGAGAATGCTATTCATCACATTTCAAAAAGAAGTGGAATAAGACAAACAAGAGGAAATAACGAAGAAAAGAAGAACAAAGGAAGAAGCTAAGGAGGAGAAATATTTGATCAATATTTGAAGTTTTGAACTACATAATACATATTTGTACTACGTATGGCATATGTAAGGGAAGAGGAGCAGACAAGTGGATAAGTACAAAACTTGCAGGCAATCCCTCTCTCAGAGCACCCATACGATGCGCTGAACAGAGAGGAGGAAATGACAGAGTACTATGCCCAGCAATACTGCAAAATTAAAAAGGAACAGACAAGGAGACAAGGGGCAAGGGAATGAGGGGAGCCATAGGGAGAGAAGGGTGGCTGGAGGGAGGACAAATATAAGATGCCCGAATTGCCCGAGACCTACATTAAAAGAAGGAAGGGAGAGGAGAAGAAGAAGGGACCGCAAAGAATGGAGAGCCAGTGGGAAGCACAAGGGGACAACAGGAAGGGGAAGGGAAGAAGGGAAATCAGGGGGAGCAGCAAGGGTCAGGGGAGACAACCAACGAGAGAGAAACACTTTGTAAGCAGAGATCCTGGAAGTCCAATCCAGAGGTTGTCAGACCTCAATGAAGAAATGATACTGAAAATGGCCGGAGTGGGCAGTCTCCAGCGACTGCACGCAGTCTGTGTTTTGGAACGGAAAAGTAGCAAGAAAAAGCTTACTGTCATCAAGGACAATCCTGGCTATGAGCGATGAACAAACAGGTGACTGAGAAATTGCTAGAGCAGCAAAATTTGCCTTACCAAGGATTTAGAAAGGACAGCATTTAGGAAAGATTGTACTCTTCGATCCTAGAGAGGCGACCGCTCAGCATTGGCCTGTTTGGGGAGGAATTGAGAGTCCCATCCATGAGGGAGAAGGAAGAAGAGGGAAAAGGGGATGTGCTGGATGTAAGACCAGTGGTGGCCTTTTACAATGAAGAAGCAGGCTTGAAAAGCAACTTGCAAGGGAGACCGTGGTGGCAGATATCGCAGTTGCCTTACACAGCACTTGGCACTCGCATGCTCCCAGAGCTGCCAACCGCAAGCCTGGCAACTACTTTGGCCCTGGGAATCCAGAAGAAGAGCCCAAGGGAGGTGGGGGAAATGCTATACCCTCCGCAGGATGAGGGAGGGGAGGCAACATTGCTTCCAATGAGCCCGACTCTCTCCACATGAAGATCACGATCTCTTGAAAGTTAGAACCATAGAACAATGAGCCATGGCAGAAGGAGGTTAGAGCAAGCGGGGAGAGAAAGACTACAAAAAGCCAAAAGTTACAGCAGAGCTAGACATAAGATCCTGGAATGTTCACGGTCTGGCCACGATCGTGTCCTTACTTGCGAAATGGTTCAGTTTGACAGCCAAAATGAACTGGTTCGACAGGCCGTCCACGATTCAGACCCCAAATTCGGATCTCAGGGTCAGATGTTCAGGTCAAGAAAAGGTCGAATCTGTCAAACTCAGAAAAGTCACAATCGGGTACCTCAGCAGTCTGGTCCAACAGGCACCCAGCAAACAGTTACATTCCACGAGTGAAAAGGCAAATTCACAAGTAGGAGTCACGTTTCCTAATGAAAAATCATATTGAAGAGTCACATCCCACGAGTAAAGGCAGTATCACAGGCAAAAGTCGTGACCCACAGGCAGGAGTCACTATCCACAGTCAAAAGTCATGTTCTCAAATGAAAAGTCATGACCCAAAGGCCTAAGCAGCAGCAGACCCATGGAAATTCGGGAAGGTTTCAGGCCTTGACATTCAGAAGCAGACAGGCTGAGGGGATGTGGTACCGGAACCAGTCAGGCCCCAGGAAGCAGAGGCTGGCACGAGTTGAAGTGCATTCAAGACTACAAAAGGACTGGCCAGCCTACCATTCGGGCAGATGCTCATTCACACGAGCGTGTGGAAGTGCTTGTGTACTTGTGCGCTAGTGTGGGAGCTGCGCTATGCCAGAGAGCAGCGCTGAGCGAGTTGAGAGAGAGGAAGTAGATGCTGGCAGAGAAGAAGGCAGTCATAGCTGCGCCAGTACCAGAAGGCAACGTAGTTAGTAGTTATTAGTAATAGGGCAGTGAGTGGTATTCAGAGTTGATCCTCATGTGTGTGTTAGTAGTAGGGAGTGCACGAGTGAGAGAAGAGGAAGACTGTGAAGAGTGAAGACCAGAATCAACAAATGAGAGAGAGATAAGAGGAGAGAGAGTAAGCTATGGTGGATACTTACCTCAAGAGTGTTGAACTTGGTGTTGGTGACAAGCGCTGATGAGCGCAGATGCTGAGACTTTTGATGATCGAAGCGGGCTTGTAATCCTGTGAACATTTGAACTCTTGATTCTCTCTCTATAATCTGGTTGTGATAATTTGGGTTGAGATAATTGAGCTGCGTTTTTCTGGTCTACTACTCATCTTCTCTTTGTGCAAATGTGTGACAAGACAATCTGTGTGACATGTGTGCTGGTGTGAGGACTGCATTGTGTGATGAGCTTTGAGGCTCATTGCAAAGACCCTCGGGATATAATATGCGTACAGGAAGCACATACGACAGACTCAGAGGGATACAAAAGCATTCAAGCAGAAATAGTGAGGAAGTTGAGACATGTATAGAGGGCTGTGTGGGCAAAGAGCCCCAATTCAGCCTCAGCTGGTGTTCTAGTCCTATTCCACAGTAGGTCCAAAGTGGCACAACTCGTAAAAATAGAGCAAGTAACTAAATACCCAACGGATGGTATATGGATGAGAATCGACCTCACTTGTAGACTGGAGGAGATCACATTATTAAACACATACGCTCCAAACACCAATGCACAGAAGAACAGTATTAGAGGCACTTAAACAGGAATATCCAAACCATTGTCACACCATAGCAGTAGGGGATTGGAATGCTTCACTAGACCATCTCCAGGATATGATCTCACGCGGAAGAGAAGGGTTTGACGAAATAGAAGCCTGCCTAATGTTATAATTTGCGACGGAGAAGAAACTGGTGGACCCCTTTATGGAAGATTCACATGTACCTGAAAGACACAACAGGGAAGACCGTCAGTTTCCAGAATAGATGATTTCCTGATATTGGAATCCTGACCAGGAACTGTAGTAACATCAGCCATCTTCAGACCCCCCTTCTCTTTGATCACAAACAGGGGGATCTGTTACTCAACCTTGGAATGGACAATGAATCAGGGCACAATTTCTACAAGGTCGACAACTCCCTTCTAACGTTGGAAGGCTTCCAAGAGGTCGTAAAACAAATATGGGAGGGACACTCACCCAGGCCACAGGGGGGAAGACATATCATCAATCTTTGCAAAAGGATTGAGCAAGGAGCCAAGAAAGGAAGCAAGGAAAAGAAGGGAAAGTCAAGAGCTCCTAGAGGCCATAATTGAGACCGCAGAATTCAATTTGACCCATGACTCAGGCTCCCCTCTTTACGAATCATTACTTACATAAGTAAAAGATGAACTGGCACAATGGGCAGACTGGAAAACAAGAGGTCTGAGCATCAGCGCGAGAGTAAAAGAGTGGGAGCACAAATAATTCAATTTGACCCACGGCATATCTTATGCTTACATCCCTAGAGCGATGCGTCACTTGCTGTTTCCTGCTGACTTCCGTGTCTCTCCATGAGGAGTGTTCCTCTTTGTCCATATTGCGCTGCCCAGTTTTACTCCGGGGCTGTTCTTAGGGTTGTCTTGTCCTATATGCTGTTTTGTGACCTCTGAAGTTCTCCTGGTCCCCTCTATCCCTTGTTACCTCTTCTTTCTCTAGCCCCTCTGCTACTTCCTACTTCCCTCTATCTCCTACTAGCTTTCTGACTTTCGTTGGCTATAGTCTGCGTAAAGGGTGGAGGGGATTTCTTCTCTTACTAATCCAGGTCCACTGCAGCACTGTGCTGTCGTCTGTCTGTCCGGGTCCCACCAGTCTGTGAAGTCAAGGGTTCTTCCAGTTCTTTCTGCTACTAGCCCCTCTTTTAGCCATGTCCCTTCAAATTCCTTCTGGATTCCGGTCTTCTTGAGATTGTCCTCTTCTCTATCAATCTTTCCCAGGGTGCATCTTCATTCTACTCTAATTTCAGCTTCCATCATTCTCTTTGCTTCTTCCCAGGATTTCGTATCAGTTATTTTCTTGCTTCCTATTGTTCCCACACTGGCTCTTCAGGTTACCAATATGGTCCAGTCTGACAGATCCTACCTTTTCCCATGGATGTTTTCAAAACTCTTGGGTCTACCTCAAGATGTTTTCACCAGCAAGCAGAGATTACTTCACTGGGCGTGTTGGACCTTTCCCTCAATCTGCAGCCTAGTCTACTGGTATACTCCAACACGTTGATCCTAAGACTTACCCTGAACCTGCCCTGTCTAAATTCCAAGCCCATTCCACCAGGTCTACTTCCAAATCTTGTTGTGCTGTCTGGCGGTGAAAGACAATTAGGTTCTCACACTCCATCATTCTTACATTCCCGAATAAAGCTGAAAGACAAGTGAGAGGTAGATAGGCTGAGGGAAGCTTGCTTGGTGGCAAAGTCGGTGAAACTCCTTGCACGACGTACGGAAACGGTGGGTGGAGGAGCACCTCAGACAGTGAAGAAGAAATCGTCCCGGACCAAAGCTATGATGTTGCAAGAAATCAGGTGTCATTTGGATGAATCTGAAGAAGATAGTGAGGAACTGCGGAAATAAGCTGGGAAATCGGGTGAAGCGATAGAGAAAAGGAAGAGGAAGGCAGGTTGTCAGAAGTACAGCTGAGAGCTCCGAGAGCATCTCGGATAATTGTTGAAGACATTGCTGATGATATTTTAGTAATTTTTTACCCCATTGGCATGAAGGAGGGGGGTAATGCTGATGTGGCCAGTGGGGACGTGCTCAATTATGCGCTCAAGGTGCATCAA